GTAATACCCTCGGCATAATCTGCTGATTACAGAAGAGAGAGGCAGGTGCGAGGTGACGAGATGACTCGAATGGCAAGTGCGATGGCTCAAGTAGGTAGCTCTTTCCCCTCCGGCGAGAAAAACTTTGTTTGGGGCGATGGGACTGCGTGCGGGCGAGGAGACGGCGGCGGCGGTGACTGTCGTGGTTGTTTGCTGATGTATGGAGCCTCGAGAGGGAGATGGCTAGATATTTTCGGCGGTGCTGGCGGTGCTGGCGGTGCTAACAAGACTGGTGGGTGCAGGTGCAGGTGCAGGTGCGAGTGGTGGTGGTAGTGGTGGGTGCAGGTACAATAGTTGGTGGAGAGTTGCGGATACGTCTCCGCCTGGAGTGGTGGCGGGCATGGGCATGGGCATGGGCATGTCGAAAGGCGGCGCTGAAGGTCGAGCCCATCGTGGGCAGTGGACACCATTCGAACGGTTGCCGTGGGTGTGCGGGCTCGATGGGCTCGATGAGCTCGATGAGCTCGATGACTTCGATTTGGGCAGCCGCCAAGAAGGGTCCTGAGGATCGGAAGGTGCCACCCAGTGCTCCACTCTCACCTGCTCACCACTCACACCTCTTGCTTTACCCTGGGCCAGAAAGGCAAAAACACCCACAAACGAAACGGCCGTGTCTGCCGGCCCAGGCCCCATCGTCCACTCTCTGCAATGTCTCTTGTTCCATGGTTCGATCCTTCCCATCATCGGTGATCGCAGCCACCAGCTCAACTTGAACACACGTACACACTTACATGTGTACTCTTACAGACAGTGCGCACACACACACACACACACACACACACACACACTCACTCACTCACTGCACAACACATAGACATATATGCCCACACTCACTCACACTCACTGCACAACACATAGACATATATGCCCACACTCACAGACACATAGTACAGACACACCACGACCCAGTACTGCCGCCCGCCTGCCGCTCGCTCTCTGCTCAAATCAGCCCACTTCGAGAACCCACCCTCTCCCCACGCCCTGGACTGGCAAGTCCGCCGTGTTGGCCTACCAGGACTGTGCAGCTACTGTACCTGTCTATGCAGTCAGTCCAGCAAGTACAGTGCTCGATAGGTATTACCTACTCTAGAGCTGAACCAAGGGCCTCCTGTCAGATGCCATAGTCACACAGACTTGCGCTTCAAGAAGGCAGCTTCTGCTATAGAGTACCTACTCCGACTTTACTTGCTGTTTGCACATCACTTGAAGCTGCCCCGGCGGCACGCAAAAGTGCGTTGCTTGTCCCTGTCCGTTTCGGGCCATCGAGATCGCAGGCCCCCTTCCACGGGTCGCAGTTTCCACCCTTCGAAAATGAAATGACGTCATTTTCCACCGCCGGCTAAAACAAGCCTTGTTGGACCCTGAAAGCCCGCTCTCCTAGAGTACTCTAGTACCACCAGCACACCTTTTCAGCGTGCGAGTCCTTGTCCTCAGGGTCTGCGGCCTTAGTCTTGTTCGTCGACACGTCCTCGGATCGTGTGCTAGGTGCCCATCGCCCTCGATTTCGTCATGGAGAGGAGCCGGAACACGAGCGACCGCAACAGCTCGCTTCCCTTATGCCCATAACCTGCTCGTATTGGACGATCGGTCATCGAACACTGCTTGGAAACATTGCCAGTCACAGCCTTCACAGCATGTCAGGAGAGATCACGCCCGCTGTCATGGCATCGTTTGCATTTGCTCGCTGCTACCTGGTACTCTGGTGACAGTAGTCCAACCAACTAGCGCATTGTGCACTATACATACACCGACAAGGTATTTTGTTTTGTTCAGACGACAAGTTCCAGTGCACGCGAAATGGCTCTCAGACATCGTACCTTGACATCCAAGCGGCGGAGTGTGCAGTCTGGTAGGCTTGACGGCCGGACCTGCATTCCGAACATGATAAGCCCCGTAGAACGCTGAACTGTATCGAGTTTGACTGTGGGTAGGTCAAGTAAAGACGCCTCATAGGCAGCTCAAAATTGCATTTTAGGGTAGCACTGTGCTGCGGCGTGACTTGAGCTCCGTGACACATCTCAGATGCGCACACCCTTGCTCCTCAGCACATTGATCGTAGAATGGCCTGTATAATCGAGCCATTCACTCACTCCTCCCAGGAAGCCTCCAATCTTCACAAGGTCTGCCAGTCGATTGTCCAGGAATTGTTCCGTCTCGGCGAAGTTGGGAGACTGGTCTTGGGTCATGTAGACCTCAGTAGACGAATACAGGGCAGACAGCGTGGCTCGTTTGCTGTACCAGCTGCTGTCGACGCTCTGGTCACCTGATAAAAACCAGATTTCGTCTGCGAGAATGGCCAACTCCTTTATCGAGGCGGGTACGTACGTTGGCTGGGCCATAATCGCAAGTGCCTGTCAATGATGAGTATGCAGGCAGGGTACTCAAATTTCTTGATCCACCCACCTCTTGCCATCGATGTAGGATCGGTTCGTTCGCCCGCAGCCGCGCCAGAGTCAAAGTGCGCACTTTGCTTCCCACGCCCATCTTCTTCCCTGTTGTTGTGCTCTCATCGGGGAATTGTACACGGTGCTGCAGTGCCAGTCGTTGTGTAACCAAGTGATAATGGACGAGATCAAACACGCCCTGTGGCAGCAAATTTGTCGAAGCATCCAGATAGCCTGCATCGCGCGCACCAAGCTTCAGCGCGTCCATTGTGAAGCCATGGCTCGGAACATGTGCATAGGCTGCAGACAGAATCGCAGATTCAGCAGGCGGAAATGGTGGCGGCTGGGCGTAATCGTACGAGTGATATAGACATTTCTGTCTCCAGACAGCGGACGTGCGACTTGATACAGCTCGGATTGCGCCGGAAACTGGGCTTGACATCCGCATCGAGGCCATGGCGAGCGTGTAAATGTTGAGATGCGGCGGCGATGCGGAGGATTCACGTTACCTCCGCAAATCTGCCAAGGCGGCTATCGATCGCACGCGCAGTTTAGAGACCAACCTCAAACAATCGGAGAATTGTAAAAATAGTGGAAAGCAATTTTAAATCACTATGACACCGCATACTAGGAGCTCTCGAACCGATTCCCGCCAAAATGAGTCATCGAGGGAATTTGAGCAAAAAGTCACGCTTCAACGCGTCAGCACGTGACGGACGCGTGGGAAGCAGACGCGTGCAGGAGTTAGTGGCAAGAACGCCTCGGTTGTTCGCGTTAGGACCTCCTTGATGCCCTGACACTGCCAGCTTTTTGTTTGCTTTGCTTTGTATCTTTGACATGATCTCGGCCTAATACAGTCTTTTGCGAGGAATTGGAACATTTTTTACAACTTAACAACGTCTAGCTCACCGCACTTTAAACCAAGTCTTCATCATCTCTACGCAAAGGCGCGACATCCTACAGTTGAAACAGCCCAAAATCAATCCATCTGAGCCCATGGCGCGCGGGAAGAATGTCGAACTCAGCGAGTATGAGCGCAAACGGCAAGAAAACATTGCAAAGACCCAGGCTTTGTTGCGCAACCTCGAAATGGAGGCGGCGCAAGCTGGTCTGGGTCCTACAGGAAAAGCGCAGACGTCATCTGTTACGAGCAGAGCAAAGTCGAAAAAGCCTGCGCCGAAGAAGATGAAGGAAGAGGATCTTGCACCGCGACGGACGTCCTCTCGATTGAGGGGCATTGAAGCAGACAGCGAGAAAGCAAAGCGCAAAGCGGAGGAGGAATATGTCGCGTTGAACGAGGCGCATCGTGCAAAGAGGCAACGCGTCAGTGATGCGTTTAATTTCAGCGACATTGTGGTAGCTGGCAAGGACTGGGACAAGAATGGAAACTTTCTATCGATTGGACCTGCGAATCCGTATGCGCGCACATTCGACTATGACGATGTTAAAGAGACAACGGACAAGGAGCTTAGAGCACTGAGGGAGAGGATGAGCGGGCTCGAGCTGTGGGAAGACTTTGAACCAAACGAGATCAAGATCACACCGGAGCGCATCTATGCGATGGGCCTACATCCAACTACAGATAAACCTCTCGTTTTCGCAGGCGATAAGCTGGGACATATCGGTATTTGTGACGCGTCTCAGAAAGCGGCTGAGATCAAGCAAGAAGATGATGAAGACGCAGAGCAAGAGGGCCCTACCATCACCACATTAAAGCCACACACACGAACGATACATACTTTCCAGTTCAGCCCTCATGATGCGAACGCGCTCTATTCAGCATCGTACGATTCGACGGTGCGAAAGCTAGATCTCGCCAAAGGTGTGGCCGTGGAAGTGTATGCGCCGGCTGATGCCAATGAGGACCAGCCATTGTCTGGGCTGGAAATTTCGAAAGATAATGCTAATATGTTGTACTTTTCTACCCTAGACGGACAGTTTGGTATATACGACATGCGTACACCTTCTGAGAAGGCTGCTGGCCTGCAATTATTTCAACTGTCGGACAAGAAGATAGGGGGATTCACGTTGCATCCTCTGCACCCACATCTTGTAGCGACTGCATCGTTAGACCGCACATTGAAAATTTGGGATCTCCGGAAAATCACTGGCGGAGGTGATGGGCGCATGCCAGCTCTACTCGGCGAACATGAGAGCAGGTTGTCAGTCTCACATGCTGCGTGGAACTCGGTGGGTCAGGTAGCGACCGCCTCGTATGATGACACGATCAAGATCCACGACTTTGGAAATTGTGCCGACTGGAAAACAGCAGGCACAGCGTTGACGGAAGCCGAAATGAAGCCATCCGTTGTTGTACCACACAACAATCAGACTGGGCGATGGGTGACAATGTATGTGTGGAAACTTGTACCTTGTAGAGGCAGAAGGCGGAGTGCTGATCTTCATCTGCAGATTACGAGCTCAATGGCAGCAATTCCCTCAAGACAATGTCCAGCGGTTCTGCATCGGCAACATGAACCGTTTTGTGGACATTTACAGCGCAAAGGGAGAGCAGCTTGCGCAACTCGGGGGAGAAGGCATAACCGCCGTCCCAGCCGTTGCAAAGTTCCATCCAACGCTGGACTGGGTCGCAGCTGGTACTGCCAGTGGGAAGCTTTGTCTATGGATGTAGAGTAGAACAGAGGCAACATAAAATTAACTTTGATTACTCGACGCCCAAACACGAGGTATTTCAGTGCCTCCCATCCTTACTTTCATTTAAAAAAAACGTTCAACCGTACTTCAGGAGCTAGCCGCAGAATCTCCACAGGAAGATCTCGCTGTCCTGGCAAACCTTACTATCGAGGCAGAGTGCGCTCTACCGTATGTCCCCACAGGATACGAGTACGGTGTGGTGTACAACGCTGCGGGCCGGATACCGGTAAGGGTCATTCTCCACATTGTAGTGGGGCCCGTCTTGACTCGCTGCCCACCAGGTACGATACAATAGGTAGCCCACGTCCTGAAGGCGCGCAATCAAGATGTCTCCACAATCAGTAGATCCTAAAGATAAGTCTAGATAAAAAAAAACCCCCTCATGCCATTGTTGTAGGCACTGGAGGAGGGGGTTTGATTGAGTTGGATCGGCGTCTCCTCGGAGCTTCCCATCTGATAGTCGCAAGATCTAGCCATGCAGAATCACAATGTAGTCGACAAGCGTACCGAAGAGGTAGTAACTTTCTCGTCGTCGTGTCGTGCCACCGCTGCCCTACAGACGGGCCCAATCCGCTACCACGGAGAGCCACATTCACATTTCGCTTCGTCCCTTCGTTCGACGAAAAAGAGGAGAGAAGTTTACCGGTAGTGCTCAGTCAGCTATACGGCAAAGCGGCGAGCGCCGTAAGACATTGTAGATCATGAGCGTCAGCTTAACCAAAAAGCCGCTCGTAAAATGTGCATCGACCAATGCTAAATGGTCACCGCTGGGGGAGCAATGACGCTCTGTGAGCTTCGCGCAATCTTGGAGTCGTGTCTGCAGTTATCAGCATCGTAAAACTGCAGCTACGATATCCATACATACGTAGTATACTATACAAGACGCAGGTATATAGACAGTACTGAAACTAATCCAGGGGTTTATTTCTCCTACACGAGATTTTCGGATCATCGTTCAAATGTTGTGGGGAAACGACGTCACAACCCTTACCACATACTACTGTACCATAGGTATGGAAGCATGGTAGAACATTCTCTCTATTCTCCAGTCTCGGTTTCGCGGTAACCCGTCAATGGGAAAGTAAGCCGATATCATCTGGCAGCAGGAAGGAACAAAGGAAGGGGGATGATGTACTTCCACACTTACGACGAAATGGTGTACCTATCCTGAAGCAGCATCGTGAATTGACTATGGAGAACTACCATAATTGTACCAAAAATACGGAGGTGGCTTTCAAAAGTTCTTGCTAGCGTATTTGTTAGCGACTGATCTATCGGCCCAACTTTCTTAGCCCACACACACTCAATTTTGAAGCTGTAGATAGTAGTAGTAATAGTCTATCTACTTAATCTTTTAGTGTTTTTACTCTACTATAGCTCCTAATACTAATCCTTTACATGCCTACTATGCCTAATAACTAGTATATAAGAGAGAGGGAGTAGAGAAGCTTCTCTAGTGTGGCAATTCACCCGACCTTAACGCTATTAAAGCAGCCTGGCCATGGCTTAAGCGGAGAACTACTAGGAAGGGCGCTCTTAAGAGTAGAGCAGAGGGTAAGCTACCTTAACACTAAATCTAGGCTTGGATAGAGCGTATACAGTATCATGTTTAGCAGATTATTAGACTAGAAGGTGGTAATAAGTATAAGGAGGGGCGGCGCGACCAAGTAGTCTAAGCTTTAGTAGTATCACGGCGGTAATATCGACACCCCTGTCAGCAAGAACTTTTGAAAGCCACCTCCGTACATTTTACCTCATGTCTATCTGTCCGATTGTTCGGCTGAGGCCAACAGAAAGGCTCCGAGCGACGCCGGGTCCGGAGTCTTCAACGGCGATCTGATGACCCTATACGAGGCCATAAACACCGTTGGCGTTGCTGATCTCGCTGGTATCCTTGCTTCGAATCCGACAAGAACAAACCTCACGATGCCATGTTCAGTTAGTCTGTATGCTCTCGGCGTAGTGAGCGAGCACCACCCGAGCATTCTTGACGGATGCTTCGGGCAAGGACACTTGTAGCACGGGCATGCCTCGGTGGATACAGTCGAAGGGGACCATGCTTGCCTACGAAGCATGGACATACACAGGTACGCCACGAATGACCAGTTAGCAGCGTTGAGGTTGCGAGGATCAATGGGCAGGAAGTGTATATAAAGAAAGCGTACCTCTCACCAGAAGTAGCCTCCATCAACTCAAACTTTCTACACTAATTCACAATCCAATTAATTATCTACCAAACACACTCGCTGCAACATTCGCTCGAACAATCATCTTTTCGTCAACATGAAGTACTCTATCGCTTTCGCTACCTTTATCGCCTCTGCTCTCGCAGCCAAGGCATGCCCGGCACCCCCCAGTGCTACGTCTACCATCTCCACTGCACCCCCCAGTCCTACGGATGTTATCCCCACTGGATCCAAGTACTTCGGAGCCCTTGTCTCTGCTAAGGGTACCACCATCCACCTACAGGCCTTCAATGCCCGCGAGGGCAACTTTTTCGTTGGTGGCAAGCCCAACACCTCCTGCGATGCGCCTAACGGTGTTACCTGCCCACCAGGCAATGAGACTGTCTTCGAAAATGTTGTTGCTGGCAAGCTCGACCTAGCCATCTCAGGAATGGGCCCACAGATCATCTACGTGGCGCCCGATGGTGCTCTCAAGTTCACCCTTCCCCATAGGTCTGGCTCCCTACCAGAGGGCAGCATCAGCGACGGCTTCGAGATGACCGCCCCTGTTGAGGGAGGCTCGTTTGGAACGTTTTCCAACAAAGCCGGTCCTTTCCTGGCTTGCTCGCCTGCTGCGGGTGCCGATATGCAAATCTTTGTCAAGCTCGAGGGCCACGGCGCTTACGACCCTAGCTGCGTTGAATTCTCTTGTCTTACCCGTATGTATAACCATTTCTTGTCTGTGCTTGACTCGTTGCTAACACTATTCTAGTATCTGTCGACAAGGTCAATGCCTGGCAATACAACTAGAGTCCTCTTGATCTGGAGCCTTCAGATTGAAATAGGACGACGCATGGCGGAAGTCAGGGGGACGTTGGAGGGCGTGTGAGAATATATGTTGGATAATTTAAACTTAATTTAGAAGAACTTAGCTGCCTACAATGTATATTTTTACATTTTACTTGCCGATTGATGCACTCCAAAGCCATTGCTTGATCCGATCGATCGCAGACTCGGTTGGCATCTCCCTTAGTCGAGAGGGGCTCACAACGACCGTCTTGACACGACTCTTCCAGCCTCGCACAATCCTCACCTCGTCGCGTGGAGCGTGGAGCGCGCGGCAAATGACATGCACAACGGCGTCGTTGGCCTCTCCATTTTTGGCCTGCTCAGCTACACCAACTTCGACGGCATCCTCAGTCACGGCTATGATACCAAGCCTGCTCGAGCTGACTCCGGGCTTGACGTGACAGCGCAGGTGCCAGGTGCCCTTGACTGAGCGGATGGCAGGCGTGAGTTTGGCGGCAAAGGACATGGAAAGCAAGTGGAGACTCTCTGATACCGGGACGTGTTTTGGAATGGGCCAATGTATCGGCCAAAGAAACTGTCGTGGCTCTCGATGTTGCTTGTGCTCCAGGGGATTCCCTCAGATAGAGTACAGTAAGTACATCCAAGTGCGTCGATATGGTACCTGGAGTGATGATTTCTATGCTCCTAATTGGTGGTATATTTCTGTCTAGTACTCTGTTTGGGGGGGGGGGGGGGTGATGTGGCGTTGTCTTTTTATAGCTTAGCGATCGCTAGTTCCAAGTTGACCAAAAAC